CCAATTTTATCTCTGTTTTGTTTCATAGATACATATGGATAAGGGCTAGCAGACCCTGTAGAGAAGAATGCGAAAGAAGCTATTAATAGTGATCACCCCAGACAGTTACCAAAAAAATGAAGTGTCAAAGATGGACTTTGGGTTTTTGGTGTGTTTGTTTAAATTTCCATGAAGGTCGATAGGTAATCCATGTAATTATCAACGTCTACATATCAGAAGGTTTGTTACTTCATCATTAATCTTACAGGTTTTGCATTGTTATGCTATTTGTTTTATGCCAAAGTAATACTTAAGAAGTTTTAATATGTATTTTTAGATCATTTCTGGTCTGCTCCAAACCCAAGGAGATCAGCGGAAAGACTCCTCAGCTCCAGTGATACTGTTTCTGCGCCTGCTGGCCTTACGAGGAATCTGAAGGCTGACACTCTTCTGAAACCTGGCTCTTGACATCCATTTTGCCTCAGTAGGCAGCCTGAGTTCAGGATGGCTACAACAGCATCTGCTCTTGCGTTGGGCAACGTTCAGTCCTTTGTATTACAAAGGGCCTCATGCCATCTTCTCTGCCTGACATCAGTCATATGGCATAACCTCGAGGGCAGATAGAAGAACACATGGAGAAGGCAAGGGCAGGCAGAGAAACCTGGAACTCATCTCTACTCAGGCAAAAGCATATGCACCAGTTTAATATGCAAGACATACACCAGGTTCACAGCCCACCTCAAAGCCCCACTGCCCCAGCAGGCAGCTCTGAACATGGTATTGCGTATGTGACTGATGGTTAGTATCATGGACAGCTAGTGAAACTGGCCTCAAAGTCACCCTAAAATACAGCATCAACTTCAGAAAGATTGCAATGAGTTTTGGTTTGAAAGGTTTCTCAGTTGTCTTTAACTTGCCTAAGTACCTATTATTTAAACTATTGTTTTCAGAAATCCTTTGCCCAGTGCTGCAATCTGTATAGCCCTACATACTGTCGTAGACAAAAGAAAACAATTCTCAGTCATTCGTTATTTTACTTGTGCTGCCAAAATTATATATACCAAGAACAGAAAACCTAAGAAAATTTAGTAGTAAATAAAAGGCACATATTCCTCCTATTCATAAAGTTGAATCAAATCCACTAGATACCACTGGTAGTCCTTTTTTAATGAGAATTAGATTCAGCCCCTTCCCCCAATATACACATTTGGTCTCTTGCATTTATTCATAGAAACATGAAAGGTATATAAATTGCATTAGAGTCTCGCCTGAGATGAAAGTTTATCTTTAAAATGGAGGTGCGATACCAAAAGTAGAGAGGAGAGCAAACATATACCTTCGTAGGTTTTTCTGATAATTTTTCATCCGAAGAATTACGAGCATGGTATCTGGAAGAAAGGCAAAAAGTTTTTCCCAACACTACTCATCTCATGTACTCTATTCTCATTAACAGCCTAGAATTACTCATTTTGTCCCTTGAAATTATGTTTTCCTTCCTAATGAAAGCAGGATACTGTCGAGCTTTCTCAAGCAAGTAAATTCTATCTTCAATGCCATCATCCTAGAAAAAATTCAGCTGTTCTGAAAGTTTTTAACTTATCTCACAGGGCAGAAGCCAAGCTATTTCTCTATATGCTAAACAGAGTAAATCCACTCAGGGACTATCAGCTGCGGAGAGTAAGTATTTCCTTCTGATTTTGGTTAAGGGTTTTGGTTGTTTTGCTAAAAATACAGATTAAGTACAGATGGCAGAGTACTTCCTCCCCCACCAAGAACAACCGACCAAGCCCCCTCACATTTATTACTACCCTAATATACAAAAACAGCTTCCTCGTATCATTTCTCATGAGCTTCAAGAAAACAAAAAAAAGGAACAACACATACATTTGAAAGAATTATTTTACAAAACACAACACCTATTGTCCTCTTCTTGTTGAAAGATTTTGGCAATTTATAGAGAATAGCAAAGTCCCTGTCTAAGGTTAAAAGTCAAGCTGTATCTTTGAAGGAAAAAAAATGGAACTGAGAGATATATAATACTGCCAAGCAGATTCTTCAAAGTTTCTACAAAAAAAATCTTCAAAGAGGAAGAACTAAAGACCCAACTTACCCCATTCTTTTGTTTGGTACAAACCACAGAGAAACACCCATGACCATCTTTACATACCTTAAGCAAACAATGCATTTACTTTGCATTCTGTCATTCTAAATGCAACAAGAAAAAAAGCACTCCAGAGGAGGGGGGGGAGGGGGTGGGGAAGGGGAAAAAAGCCAAGCTATCCAACCATGGCAGACTATAATGCAAATAAAAAAAGACTTTCTTCACTGGGTCAACGGTCCCAAAGTTTAAGCTTTTAGGGATTAAGCCAGTGACTGCTCCTGCCTAAAAATAATAAATCTACCAGCAAGAACAAACAAAACAGAAGCTTGCAAAATCATGTTTAAAACCACGGTGACCTCGCTTATTTTCAGGATGTGGGAAGGGAGGTGATTCACTTAGAAGCGTTTTACGTTACAAGACACACATCCTAATGGAGAAATGAATTAAATGGAGGGGAAAAATTAAAATAAAAAACAAAAAGGCTAAGACACCTTTAATCTATTGTTAGTCTGACAACTGAGTCCTCACAGACACTGGGATGCCCCAGTGCTCAGGAAGACCTGACAAAAGCCTTGCTTCATCTTACCATTACATTAAACCCGTTGTTTAATGGGTTCATTCAATGCCAGCTCATCAGTTAAATACAAAACTGTAGCGCTCTCCAAGGATGCTTACTTCTGTTTGGAAGGTCGGATATTAGCAGCTGTGGCCTTCAGACGGGCAATGTTAATCTTCTCTGAAAGCTCCTCCACGGTCTCAATGTCCACCTGCTCGTCATCCTCACTGTATTCACACGCATCCTGGAACAGTTTTTGTTTCGTTTTTTAAAATGAGTATCTACTTAGCAATAGCGCTCAGGCCAAAACATTTTGTTTCACTTCAGACTCAAAGAGATTACATCACAACATTAAGAACCAACATCTCCAGCTACACTGGCCAATAAACAATCCTAGGCAGGTGGTTATCCTCTAGGAATTCCTCCCACTAGCAACTTCTGCAAAATGGATTTTAGTAAGAGCAAAACCTATCTCTGTCATTTATGCCTTCATTATGGATCAGATAAAACCTTTACAGGGCAGAGTTTTCCTGCCTACATTTTCAAATAGGCTACAATTAAACTGCCCTTAAAAGCTACTACTTTTGACTCTTGCTAACTAACATTTTGGCACGAGCTGAAATAGTACCTACTTGGTAACGGTCTCTTATACCAAAGAAAGCAAGAGTCACAGCATCATACAACTAGGCTTCTTCAGGCCATAGAGAAGACTGCTAACGTGATGAAGAGTATAATTTTGGCTCTTTCAAAAAGATCTGTGCTGAAATTATTTTAAATATTTAAGATATTCTGAAAAGCACTTGTTTTTCCCATGTCCTCCGACCAAGAAAACTTGCTAATCATCTGTGAAGACAGAGATGCAGAACCACTGCAGTGCTGTAGCAAACTGCAGCAGTTAATTATCAACCTTGCATCCATTTACCGTACCAGATTCTGCTCTCCTCCCCAACCCAAAACAAGCCTTATTCAAGGAATTTTTTGTAAGTTTTTAATCTTATAATCACTGGTCTTACTTACAGAATGCAGAACTCTTTTTGAAGAAAAAAAAAGTAATTATACCTTCATTCTGTACTCCATTTCACCCAGTTCCCTGAACTACCCAATCTTGCCCTCCTCCTATTCTTCTCTTCTGTCTTTCCTTCCTTCTCCTTGTCCTTTTTTCCTTTCTTTTTGGTGAGCTGCAACCTCCTTCTTCTCTGAACTGATACTTACCTGAAATTGATGCAAACAGTTAATCACAAAAACCACTAGGTTCAGAACAGGAAGAAAAAGGCAATATGCAATTCTGTATCAGTGAAAGGCCTCTAATAAACGCTTTTCACGGTACTCATTATTTTGAGTTAACTGCAACTCCTTGAAGATATCGCACAGTAACGTTGCTGTTTTAAGAAACTCTTATTAGAAAGGTGAAGCTGTTGCACTGACTCAACTGGCCACAGATCAGGCTAGATACAACACTAACTTAACAAAAACAATATGCAACAAGAGCACTCTAAATTATCATATAAGCATTAGTAACAAGTAGTTAATGATGCACATTTCCAATTACCAGTCATGAAATCTGCACCTGCGAAGTTTGCAGCTACGTTAATTTAAAATGGACTCCATTTGTAACGGGCAGGTAAATCATTAATTAACAATTTCCTTTTTGACAGAGCAGTAAGACGTCTTATAACCTAGTGTTTGCTGTAATATCTGGCTCCTTCAGCCAATCTTTTCTTAAGGCAAACCTTCTTCCCCCTACCCATAACTCAGAGCAGGGCTAGCTGTAATTCAAGCAACAACATAAAAACTCACTACCTTATAGTTACTGACACCATATTAGAACAATTACCACTGTGAATAATTCTGCCAGAGAAAAGATGATTATCAGTATTTTTTAAAATTTGTATAACGCAGTATCTCCCATGGCTGTGTGATAGAGGCTATAGAAGAGACAACCTGGAAACAGTTTGAAAAACTAATAAAGTCTGCCCTCCTTTAGTAGAGGTTGCACTGGGAGGGAGGAAATATATATATAAAATATATATATATGCACACAGTGCGTCTGTGTGGGGGCACATTACTGCCTGTAGAATCTTCCAATCTTTGAAGAGGAACGAAACTATGTACCATCCACTGCTATACCACCACTGGAACGTTCCCAAGTCATCTGCACCTTCCACTGACAACGTCCTGAGGGGCCCTGCAAAGTGTTGGTAGTACAGACTCTGTATAGAATGAGGCATAAAATTTTAAATCACTCACTTTCGGAAAAGCTGACAACTTCACCTGAATGATGAAGTACCACCTTTTTATTTCAGCCGTAATTTGTGATACTCAAGATTATCAGCTCTAGCTGTTTTAGACCGGACCAGAAACGCACCCTTGCTTCTACATGTTGCTATGCACGCTCCCTAGTTATCTCTAGGCTAGCAAAAAGTCATACCTTTTCAAACAGAAAGAGAGAGGAGCAAGGAGGGTGACCTTAGGTGGAAACTTACTAGCCTTAGAGAACAATCTCACTCTTTCTTTCAAAGATATTTTTCCATGTGCTGACTTTAAAGATACCATTCTTCTCTGCCCAGGAAAGCAGCTTTGATCTCTGGTGGCTTCTGTATTTGGAAAGGAGACAAACAAGTTATTCTATTACTACTCACTACTGGGGTTTCTTGCATCTTTCTTCAGAGCAGCTATGAGTCTGCATAATGCCCTGTCAGTTTCTGTTATGAGTCCACCAAGAGCAGTAAGGAGGTAACCCAAACTGCCTTCTGACAACTTCGGAAATAACGAACTGGCACCGGCAGAAGCCTGACAAAGTACACTGTTTCTTTGTGGCTGAAAGCCCATCAAATTCGTTCCGTCTTGTAAATATCCTCCCACAAATTAGTGCTGGGACTAGGTAGAGAAAAAGAACAGCAGGAGAATGTAAGTCAGAAGACACTACATGCCTAGGATCTGGGCAGTCTAGATCCAGAACAAACATACCATGGTTACTGAAATGGCAACTAAAGTAAGACTTCACTGCATTTCAGCTAAGCATTTCAACAACTTTCAAACACTGCCTATGAAGAGCACGCAACTTTGTTCCCTGTCCGGCAAGCGGCTCTGTATGCTTACAGAAACTTTTATGATTTGCTATATAAAAATCACACTTGAAGAACAGCACTTATCCATAGTCGGTAATTTTTCCCAGCAACTCCCCGTCACACTTCCTGTACTTGTTGGTCCTTGTTAGTATCTAGCTTTAAGGAACAGGAGCAACTCTTTGGACGCGTTTTTTATCAAGCCATTTCGTTCTGAGGAAGACAGATGCATCCAAGCTGCTCCTAAGTCATTCTGTAGTAAGCCAGAGTTACACGTTCAGCTTCTGCACTGAAAAAGAGCGACGGACCCACTGGCACAAAGTCACAAAGGCAGGGAAACCAAAACTGCAACAGAAATCGTCCAGATTCTCTGGAGCTTAACTGCTATGCCAGGGCTCACATATCCTTTAAAAAAGGGTGTACTGTAGGACCCAGAGTACTCACATTCCAAAAATTCCTCAGATGAGGAGAGGGACAGAAGCTTGAATCTGAAATTAAGTTCCGAGTAAAAGGGAGGAAGGGAGGGAAAGTAAAGCAAAAGGATGTGAACAGATAGCACAGCTGCTCTGCAGCGTCTTCTTAATCCTCCCCAAGGTTGGATGAGAGAAGGCAGAGCTCACCATCACAAAACCAGGGGAAACAACTTGTTGAATAAAAATTATTCAAACAAAAATTCTATTCAAATTACAGAACTACTAAATAGATACATATCATTATGCTGAAAATGTATTAAATGTGCCAGAGGTGCAAAGTTACATAATTTAACCGATTAGCAGTTGTATTTCATGAGCACTTCTCATTTTTTCTAGCTCTCCTGGGTCATCCATAAACTGTCCCGGTTGCTCGAAACCTTCTGATATTTCCTGTAGCTTTTCCATCTTACACTGTGTCATCACTGTGATTCTACATGCAGGAGACGACTACAGTTTCTCCTAAGCAGGCCAAAGTACACTGTCTAAACTACCTTTAGACATCATTATGCTGCAGGGAAGGGGGGGTACAGGGTAGTTTAAAAGATGCTAGGATCCAGAGACTGAGAAAAAGAGAAAATGACTTCCACTAGAAATACTACCATGGTAAAGCTTTTGAGCTTTGAGACAAGTTACACGAGGCCAACTCAAGGGTTTACAGTTATCCAGCTAGATCTGTTCTCATGGCAGAACTTTTTATTTTTAAGTGATATCATACTGGAAATATAGTTCCCAAAAGACCAGTGAGACACGGTACCTTTTTCATTAAAGATGGGGGTGGAGGGTGTCGAAAGCAGAAAAATCTCCACTGTCCATCAAGAAATTCACACCTTCTAAGTTTACAAATTCTGTATATGGATGTGTGTAAAGCAAAACCACTACTTTTTTCCTTCCTTTAACAACAAAGGGAAAAATGCTTCAGGATGGGAAATCTTTCCTCTCTGCCTTTTCCTGACTTTCTGGTAAAAGGAAAAATATGACAACAATGAAGAACCTCAGCAGTCTACTCCTTATTAAGTTCTGACGTAAGAATAGCTCTACCTACGTAACTAGTATCAACCTTTTCTAAGGTGAACCCTATTGATAGCCTTGCGTAACTTCAGGGGGGTCTATAGCTTTAAAAGCCTTTTTGAAGTCCTCCTACCTTTCTAATACCAGCTCTTCCACCAGTTCCGAAGTTACAAAACTTCCAAACGTCTTTGAGCTTGTAGGAATAAAATACCTTAAGGAGTGAGGAACACAGACACAAAAGGAAAAATCCCACATTACAAGGAAGCTTTACTGTTGCTACAGAAACGTCAGCACCTTTCCCTCGCTGCACTTCATAATCTGTTTCTAAGCACTCTCTTCTCACCTTCACCTGACTCTTTTTGGCAGCCCACACCCTTACTGCTGGTCCCTGAAGAATCGGTCACCTTTTGGCAGAGGGTCCTCAGCAACAGTAATCAAAAAGAAAAGGAGAGATGACAATGGACGACTTCAGAGATTACCCTAACAAATGCTTCATTTCGCCATCTTGCTACTCTGTCTAGAAATCTCACATATGCTCTGTTACAAAAGCTCAGAACATGCTGGAGATTTCAAGTTCAATGAAAAGTGTAAAATGTATGTTTTGCGGACTATTTAACATATCATTCATATATAATCATTCATAATAGTTCCACACCATTTTAATGTTTAGCTCAGAAAAAGAAGGGCTGAAAAACATGAAGTTTTAACACCATTTAAAGTATCTTACCAGACAGAGAAGCTACATTTAGACTAGTAACTGAAACAGGGCCAGGGGACTGAAACTCTACCTATAGCATTAAAATACCAAAATAATCTGTGGCATGGTTCTGGCCTTAAGCCAGCAAGCACTCTTGTGAACGATTCACAGACATGGATGGTTTGTGACTTACTCCATGCCAAACAGCCATTCCCAACAGGCATTTTGTATGCAATCATCCTGCCTTGGAGAATGAATTTAACATCACGGGCCACACCATGGCAGACAATTTGTTCAGACGATAGGCTCCGATACCGATTAATTTGCTCAGATAGATAGCCAGAGAGGTTTGTTCATCTTGCCCAACCCAGGATGCTCCACCTTCCTAGGCTTCCTGCAGTTCTGGAAGAAAACGCAAAGGGGCAAAGATAGCATTTGAGGGAGCTTCTTTTCTTGAGTAGAAAAGGAGCTTGCAGAGTTTCCTAAGTCAAGTACACAAAGTTAGTACAAGGTAAGAAGTTCATCTGAAGCACACCATGACGCAAAATTAAGAACAGGGAAGTCACCACTGCAATGAGAACTACGTGGAAATATAGAAAAAAGGAAACAATAATAGCTACTCGTAATAGTAAGTAGCAATCATCCTGTATCTCACTGGAAATTTTTTTTTTTTTAATAGCTATTTCCTGAGTAACAGGAACAAGTCCGGATTCCAAACAAATAATGTAAGAGCTGTCATCAGTATTTTCACTTAAACAAAAGTATTAGTGGACATGCACACGTTTCTTTGCTTCCGTATTTCCACTAGCTGCACGAAACAGATGAATCTCCTGTACCAATCTACTCAATATGGATTGACTTCACCCGGTCCGACAAACAATGCTGGCGTAGCCCGGCAGGCAAACACCATGCTGACGCAAGAGTGCAAATGGTTTAAGAGAAGCATATTCTTGCTGTCACTTGAGGCAGTCAGTATCTCAACTTCTGTGATAAACTTGCATGGTTCTGACAGTTCCAAAGACCTGCTAAACAATATATTTTTTAAGAGTTTTCTGCAAACTTCCAGAAGCATATTCACAGAACCACAGAACAGTCAGGGTTGGACAGGACCTCTGGAAATCATGTGGTCCAATCCCTCCCTCCCCAGCAGGGTATTCTCCCTTTCCATCACTGCCTCCCCAGGGACTTGACTATGCAAAGTAATCTGACATTTAATACAACTTGGGGAGGGATGGGACGGGTCAAAGAAGCCAGAGAGAAGAAAAGAAAAAAAAAAAAAATCCCTACAACACAGCTGCCCAGAGTATCCTGAAAAGCATGGACAAACTTTAAGAGGCTCACTACAATGAGGAATAAGGTCAATTCTTGACAAGTAATCTCTTGTCAGAGGAGTACTTCAACAGCGTTGTTTTTTTTTTTTCTGGCTGGCCTGAAGGTCTCCAGTAAGATCCTGAAGTTGACCTCTACTTTACGTAAGAATGTTTTAAGTTTACCTCTACCTTGAAACAGGAATATCCTGCACCTTTCTCCCCAAAGGAGCACACAAAAGTAGCTTGAAAATCTTCTCTCATCTCACTGACCAGGACTGAACACAAAGGGGCTCTAGTCCTCTAACAGTAGACTACTACTCTAAACATACATCTAATAGGTGGATCTTCCCAACCACTAGAACTAGGGTAAACACTGTCTAACGGTTCATTGCTATGGAAAGCAAGAATTTCAGTAAGGGATCGACCTTCTTCAATAAGCATCGTTTTTTTCTTGACGGAGATGTTTGTCCAATTCTGTAAACTGCCCCTTGGAAATCGTATCTTAACTTACTGACATGTAGATCACATTAGCCACCAAGCTTGAGAACAACTCTTAGAGCTGAACAGCTCCCACTCTTTTGAGGCCTATCAGCCATGCTAATCTTAAAAGCAGTGCGATAGCCACAAATCAAAAAGATGTAAAGATAATGCTGCCTCACGCTGTATTCCTACTGCAGTACACATTTTCAGACCACTAACGACATCTTTTCAGCCCATACTTGCTGTCTCCAAATCTCAGGCACAAGAGATGAATGCATTTGATCCTATTCATACTCTGCACAATCAGACTTCTATTACCCACGATCACATGCATTTCCTCCACAAATTCTGACCAGAGAGCTGATTACTCTTTAGTCCCGCTCACAATTCCCTAACTGTAAGGGCTACCATTGCTGAAGGGAGAGGAAACCCTAAGGGACCTCACAAGGTTCCAAAGGCGGGGGGGTGGAGGAGGCGGGGGGGGGCCACAACAGGAAAGAACCAACTTAACTTATTAGACAAACCTCTCACCTAAAGTCCCAAGCTATTCCAAACACGCAAATCATTGGGTGCTTGACATTAAAATTGCAGGGAAAAGTGCTGAAAGTATATGCAATACAGAGGTGACTTGCCAGAGTCACAGCGGGATGCAGTGTTTCAGGCAGCTGGTCTCTCAAAGATACAACATGAAGGCAGCAAGGAGAGAAACCAACAGTGCCCTGTTTCTTTTTTTCTTTGCAATGGATCCTAATCGCAACAGGTCTCTCTCCTTATGAACTAAGGAACAATCATAACAAGTAGACCTGTGGAGCGTAGGACAAATAGACAATCAAGAAGCGCTTTCCTCTTTCTCGGGACCTTCTGAGATCTTCAAGTAGGGAAGAATCTCCCTACCTACAATCCTCCCAAACTTTAGGGCTCTCTGGCCCCTTCAGTTCTTTGTGATAAAATTATGATCCACTCGCTGACAAGCTCCTTACTTTGAAGTATTCTCTCAAGGAAAAGGGCCAGGGATTTACATTTTTAGATTTAAAACCAGATGGGCTCTACAGTCCACTATGAGATACGTTGCTCCTCACCTTTACTGCTCTATAAACCAGAGCTGGCTTAGTCAAGTTTGTGTGAGCAACAGTGAAGACATACCCCTATACGGTTTACCATCCCATTCTAAAAAACATTTAAAGATGTATTTTATGAAGCAGTTTCTAAAGCCTCTACATTAAGATTCTTCCAAAACAAACATTTCCTATCATCTCTGATGATTATTATTTTTTAGTTTCCTCATCCTATATAGAACAAGCAAAACAAATAATCTTTGACATCAACCCTGATAACAGACCCAAATACTACGGTTTCAAGGGCTTACCAAAAAATCCCTAAGACTTCCTTGTCTGAAAAGCTTACCAGGTGTCTGGCACATATTAAACATCGTTCTCATACTGGATGATAACCCTGCTGAAAGTTATGGAAGCATACAGAATTGTCACCAAGTGAGCACCCTCCTATACAAACAAGGCAACAACAGTTCAGTTTTCAACCCCAAACCTTGGAAGAACTTCAAAAAATTATAGTCGTTTTCAGTTCCCTCACCCTCACGCAGCCAAGTTGCTATCCTTTAGTCTTGAGACTTGTGAGCTGGAGCATTAAATAGTTAGTCAACTTTTCTGGAAGTTAAATACAACAGATTCTCTAAAAGCAAAAGTTGTTGGCTTTTAATTGAATAACTCTGCATAGGGCTTAAAAGAGGAAGAAGTCTAATCCGGTTTTCAACTAGGAAAGGACTACATTAATACAAAAGGGTTAAAAGAATTATTTACTTTCAAAATCCTGAACACTAACATAATTGCTTCAAATTTTAATTAATTTGCTTTTAAATTCTTCTCCACTCTAGTTTTTCTCTTTCCACATTTATCTCACCCTAAGAAAAGGCTATCTTACTTTGGCATTCATTTGGATCACTTCCAAAACTGAACCATCAGGTACTTCAGGTAACAATACACTGTTTCTCAGTCACAAACTGACATTATCAAATATATCAAGTAGGTATGCGTGGGATTGTTTTGTTTTAGGTCTGGGATGGAATTTGATGGAAATTCAAAAAGCATTAATATCTAAAGATAACTTTTCTATGTTAACTACATTGTTACGATAGTTCTGTGACTTCTGCATCAATTTTGTTTTCTGTTAAATATGGAATGACAGCTTTGACACTCAAATTTAGAGCTAAATTTCAAGAGAATGTAAGGATAAATTCAAAGATTCCTTCCAGAAATAGGTGCTAACTAGTCAGGGCTACAAATCTAGGTAAAAGAAAACAGCTTAGGATGGCGGAAATACTGGACTGGCTATGTTTTAGGATCCTAAGTCACATTACGAGGAACCAAGTTGCCTGAGTCAATACAGGAGGAAGACAACACGCAATGATTCTATTACAGCCTTCTCAATGTCACTCAGTTCTTACCCGAGAAACAGACGTCTGGAAGGCCATATAACGCTCACGATGAAGAACTATTTAACTAACAAATCAAAAATATTTTCACTTGGAACCCATATCTAGATTTTCTAAAGAAACTAAACGCTAGGACACAAACATCATACAGAGTCTTCCAAATCCATGGTCCTGACACACTTGTTGCTCAATTTAAAAAAAAAAAAAAACAAAAACCCTTCATAAACAGTTAAATGCTTACCACTTTTTCAACATCTACTTCCTCTTCACTTGGGAAGTCAGAACCACCATCCAGCATCTCATCAGCAGAATCATCAGTTTTTTCATCCTCCTCATCCTCATCATCATCTTCCTCCTCTTCCTCTTCCATATCATCAACAGTAATATCAATAGTGGGCATATAACCCTTTTTGTGATGCTTGGCTTCTTGCGCCCTCTGTTCTGGTGTCAGGAAGTCATCTTTATCAGATACGTCAGCTTTGTTATCTGCATCACTTTTATTCTCCAGGGCAGGTGCAATGCTCGATATTTTGCTCCAAGAACTGTTGGCATGTATTACAATATCTTTAACTGCTTTCAACTCTTCCTGACAATCAACAGCATCTTGTTGTCGGGAAGAGGTGTTACTGCTTTCCTGTGAGGCTATGCTTCTTTTGCCTTCCTCAGTATGTTCTGTCTGCTTTTCTCCTGAAGCGTTATCCTGCTCTTTTGCAGAACCAATTTCAGGCTTCCTTCCTTTTTTCTCCCTCATACTTTCCGCTTCGGTAGAGTCCTTGTACTCCTTCCTTTCCATTTCCGGCTGCACAGAAGCATCGTCCTGATGTTCTTTTTTGCTCTGAGGTGGTTCAGCCCCTCTCTGTTCCTTCTCCTTGTTCTCCAGATGTGCACCTTGCTCTTTTTGACTCTGGGGCTGCCCAGACTTTGCCTTGTCGCCGTCTCTGATCTGTGCCTGCGCATCTCTTTCTCGTTCTTTTCCTCGTTTCTCTGCGTGTTCAGCACGTGTTTGTTCCTTTGCACGGTTCTTCAGCTGTGTAGTTTCCCGATTCTTGAGATTCTGTGGGCGTGCATTATCTACAGGAGCAACTAAAGACTGATCCGATGATCTACAAATGGTTTCAGAGTTAGTTGAAACAGCCTCTCCTGCAGCTTCAGAATGGACAGAATCCTCTTTCTCCTCAGCAACCACATCGTTTTGCTCATCGTTTGGCTTCTCACTGATGTACGAATGATCTGATGATACAACATCTGCAGAAACATCATGCTGGAGAGAGGAAACATCATCTGAACAACCCTCTAGCACCTCTGAATCCTTCTCCGCTGTCTCCAATGAAGTGGAATTTCTGTCAGGTGTGACTGTGCAGGATGCTGACTCCTCAACATTATCTGACTGATTTACTGACAGCTCATTTTCTTCTGGTTTGCTATCTGACACCGTGACCTCTGACTCCACAACTTCAACCTCCTCTGAGCGTGAAGCCTTCCCATTCTCTTTCTGCTGAGTAGCACCTGAGTCATCTTTCTGAAATACATTCTTGGAATCTTTTTTCATCTGGAGAGACGCAAAATGGTGAAGAATGGAGTTTGGCACTGTCTTCTGTCCCGGGAGCTGAAGCAAAGCAAAACTACCGGATTGTAAAGGTATGAGACTAGCAGTAGTAGTGGGTTGACCACCTGAGCTGCAGGTTATCTTAGACTCGGAGCCTGTTTGATTTGCCACGCTGCTAGCAGCGGGAGGAGAGATTCTTAAAGTCAGAGTGCCTGCCTGCGAGACAAAACTGGGTACCGAAGGAAGAACAGAAGATGCTTGAGTGGTCAGATTAGCTGTAGAGGATAACTTTGGTCCTGCAGTTTGTGTGGCTGAATTTGTGGCAGGAGAAGTGGAAGACCCAGAGGAAGTGGGAGATACAGGTGACTCAGAAGGCTTGGCAGGGGCAGGCAACCGAATTCCTACAACTGATCCTGTGAGGAAAATAAAATGCCAGTTAATACTTCCTCAAATCAGTCTTTCCTTTTAGTTTCAGTACGTGATGCTGTACTAGAAGCAGGTGGAGTTCTCAAGGATCACAATACAACCAGGTATTTGACCACAAGTTCTCAGTGAAAAATCTGATTCTGCATAAAGAAAGGCTTACCGTGGAATTTTTACATGAAATACCCCTATAAAACACAGAGGGTGGCTACTAGAACTGACAGAGATTTAATGGCAAGTTTCACTTTTAAGATTTTTAATCAAAAAGGCATTGCATTTAGTTAGGGTTTCCCCCTTTTCACCCGTCACTTTATCCCATTTATTAGAAATGGGGAAAACGGACTTTCCTCAAGCAAAGCAAAAGAAAAATATGTTTAATTAAAACCCCTACTTTTCAGGAAAAGAATTTCACAGAGAAGAACTACCACAAGATTAAGTGATTATATCATGCTCTTTTTCCCCTTAATGAGCTCTTCTACTCATTCATTCGACCCCTACTAGGAACACCCTTAAAACAAAGAGGAAAAACACAACCACTAGCAGCTAGGTTTCTCCTGTAACAGCAAACATCCAAAACTAGAAAGGAACTTTAATGCATTTTTTGACTGATTTACTACATCTCAAGCTCAGACCTCAGCGAGGGCACAGGAGTATTTCTCTGCAAGTGACCTGACCCATTACTCTTCTCCCCGCATCGTTTGCTAGCTACTGTTTGCTCTCACATCTCAATTTCCAACCCCATTCTGCCTCCGTCTCTTCAAGATGCCTCTTTATAAGGAAGAGAACAGAAGAAAAATTTTGACAGAAAGTAAAAACGTATTTAAAGTATGTTTTATTTATACATGTGCTTTGTTTGTAAACATGTACAACACTCTCAACAAGCATCCTACCTATATTCCGTCAGATGCCTACAAATTCTACCTCTTCCCCTTTTTAACAGCAAAGGAACTTTTCCAATCCTGCCTTCACTATAAAAAGAGAAACATCTGAGAAATCAAATACATTTTTCTCATACTGTTAGGAGGAAAAAAACAGCAATTTTATACTGTAGTGTAACATTCAATCTGAACATCAAGCATAAGAGCACTAACAAACCTACGAAACGTAACAGGAATAAGCCAATACATCCACAGCAAGGCACAGGTAACAGCTCTTTCTTTTTAAAAGAACATCCAACAAGAATTATTTTTAAATAGTCAGATCTACACAATTCCCTTGAAGTGATGACAAGACAGAGCACGCGGTTCCTTTGTCACAAACACAGGCCCTTTTACTTACAGCACAAAAACCCACATTTCAGTGACTTAGCTATTAACTGTACTTTCTGCGTTTTAGACATACGGTGTTTAAGTTGCATTACATCTGAATAATTATGCTTCGTGCTCTTTAACCACTCGCACAGAACCAAACTACACTCCATCCGATTACTTTAAGGACGGAAAACAAGCATCACAGAGACATCTACTGCACGGTCTGTTCCTGGGCAACACGCTAGGCAGTCAAGACAAACTTTGAACTTTGTACCTGGATTGCGGAACATTACTGGCGGCACGTTGGGCTGGGCACCAGCAGCTCGAAACTGATGCAGTGGGACAAGCTGAATGATCTGTCCATTAGGATGTCTGAACAGGTTCACACCACCAGGGCTCCTGAGAGGCTGAAGGATCATCCTCTGTCTCTGCGGAAGCTGCATGTTGTTTAACGGTCGCAGAGCAGGAGACGTCTGATGCACTGGAATCAACAACAGTCGAGGTCCTACACGCTTTTCTGCTCCAGGAGACATTTTGGGGGGAGTCTTACTTGCAGCTTGTGAAATAGCATCCTCTGAAAAATTTCAGAAGTTATATAAAGTCAGCTTAAGAAACATCCTACAAATCAGGCGCTATCTGTAATAAGAACAAGCATAAGCATTTTGGAAACAACCTGCTCTCTTCAAACTTACTTGAAAGCGTGTTACATCAGTATCTTTTTATTCACAGAACATACACAGGATGCACCAGGCCAGTTACAGTTTTCCCCTCACTGTTCTGTCAACATTTCTCAATCATGACCCAGAAGACTCGCATGTAAAGGTAAGAGGGTAACTCCACACCTATTTCTTGGACTCTGTGCCAGTACTACAATTCTAGCCATTGCAGTGATAATTATGTTATACATTTTTACGGGCCAAGAAATGGTCTGAGACTTCCAACTCATTTCATAGCAGTCACTGAACAATTAGCTGCGTTTTTTTCTTCTCTACTGGCTTAGGCTGGACTCAAACAAGCAACTTGAGAGATTACATTTCTTATCCTATTTTGGAAAGAAGGATGAGGGGAGCAAATCTACATTTAAATTGCGTTCTACGGTTACAGGCTTTATTCCAACTACAAAGAAGGCAAGAAAAAAAAAAGCGTTTGCAGTAACAACACAAAGCACCCCAGCCTTACCTGGTTTTGGATTCAGCGTAGGACTTGAATTAACTCCAGAGAGTATAATTGGAACAGAGCCAACAGAGGAAGTTGGTGTGGTCACCACAGATGTAGCTGTTGCAGTTGTTGTCAGTACAACTGTGGAAGTGGACGTTGTGGGAACAGGACGAGTAATTGCTGAGGTGGTTACTACAGTTTTAGGGAATGATATGGTTGCTACTGGTGTAGCCATCCCAGTTGCTTTTGTTACGTTCACTGCGGCAGTAGGTGTGGTGGGTGAGGGAGCAGTACAGGTGTTAATTCCAGGAGTTGCAGGAGCACCTGTGACTGCAATTCCAGGAGGAGAGCAGGCAGTTTCATTAGGTCTTGTTTGGCTGGCAGTGGTCACGGTAGATACTGCCACACTGGTACTTTCTACAGTGACTGGAGAAGTGGTAGTGGCTGTAGTGACCCCAGGAGAGACAGTGCAGTGAACTGAAGATGGCCTTGAGGGAACCACAGGAGTGACAACCATTATTGGTGTAGGCCTGATACTGAACTTCTGCGGCCCTGACAAAGGCTGGGGTGTGCTCACTCCAGGAATCTTCTGCTGTAGGGCGCCGGCTTTATTCATCACAAATTGCGTGAACACACCACCAGGTGAGGGTCGGGCAGCTGCAAATAAAAACTTGCAGGTCAAAATTTTAATAGATTTCCTCTTTGCCTTTCATGAGGTGCTACAATAGTCATTTCAGCAAGAATTTGGGCCCCTATTTTCTGAAAGGGCACTCTGTAATTAAATTGAAACCTTCGTGGCAGTCCTGAACATGCCTTACATTATTAGAAATATAACTGTTTTATCCCATTTCTACAGCTTTCTGTTGCACTTCCTTCTGGCCATACAGAAGAATCGGGTCTTAAGGGGTTATGTTCTTTATTGTGAAACTACCAACAGCAAACTATAATTTCAGTACATGAAAACAAATAGCTAAGTGAGATAATGGGCTCATAAGATATTTTCTAAGTCTCAAGTTCTTCCTGTAACAGCTTCTTTGCGCAGTCTTCCTCTTTCACTGCTTCTTGGTTTTCACCCGTGTTGGGGGGGGGGGGGGGGGGAAGGAGGGAAAAATAGGGTTTGCCAAGTCCCCTTCTCCTTGCAAGGGCATTCATGAAGCTGAGGACTGGATGGGACAAAATTAACCAACTGGAAGTAATCACTGTTGGGAAGCTCCTTCTCCCCATCCCTTGCTCACCAGGGATCAGAACACTGAGTCTGTATTACTCCAGACCCCTACAGATGAGGAGCAGAACCTGGGTATAGCGCAGAGCATTAGTATTGGGCAAGGCCCACTTGAATATTCAAGTTATTCATACACATAGCATCTTCAACCCAGAAGGTGCCAAAACACTTAGCAAGTCCTGTATGCAACAATCACTTCACCCATCAATGAAATGCAGCGACCTCTTTAATATTGTGTAAACATATAATACAAGAAGTTTTATTACAGGATGAGAAAGCAACACATTCTGTTTACACTGCAAGGAAAATTTAGGCAGAAAAACAACACAATTAACCAAAAATTAGAGTTTTGCCAGGACACAGGTTAACATCCTTTTCTCTTGCAAAGCTTCTTCAGATCTTAAATTATCGCGTGGATGGGTGCTAGATTTTACAACTCATGCAAAATGAAACATTCAAGAGCAATTTCTTCTCTTGCCATGCTGGGGTAACCATTTCAGTACCAACTCAGATACGAGTACCACATCCGTCTTCTGATACTTTATTGATTTATTACTCTGGAGGGTTTCCTATTCAAATGCTGACTAAGTCCAACCCTGTTTAGCTTGTGAAATCCAATGAGATTACAGGCTGGTGTGGTATTGGCTGCCCACCTGTTGTTTCCCTAATCCAGATTTGGATCATCTTGTCTTTCACTGTGTTGCTTCATGCATCTTTGCTGTTTTCATGAATTCCAATTACAAGTGCAATACCATCAGAAAAACAAACAGTGAAGAACCATAGATTAGAGTCATCCTGTTACTTTTAACCCTCACCTTAACAACTTCCCAAAGTCTGATGAAAAGCAAATAAAAATCATAGAAAATTCTCAAAACAAAAATCCAAGCTTAACATTCAGTCACTGTCTCCATCCACTCTCGTCTCTTGAAAATATGCTCTAGTGGTATTAATAAAGTAACTAATAGTCAACATCTCTGAAGTCAAAATAAAGCTTTCTGTTTTAGACAAAGAAGTTATTTATTGCAGAGGCAGTTTAGGTAGGCAACTTAGCCAAAGGCAGCATGCACTGTTGCACAGAAATCAACAGCAACGCTGTACACTCATTTTTTATTTCAGCTTCACGCAATTTAAAATACAGTAATAAGTTCCAACCTACCTATCTGTCTCTGTGCTGGGACATGAGCTTTCAGAGTCGTCACAGTGGGGGTTGAAGTAGTGCTGGTGGAAGATGTAGTTTTGGGAGATGATGTTGTGGGCACCTGGACTGATGGTGTCCCGGAAGCAGCTGCTTTAGCATTGGATGCTACCTTGGAGATCACAGTACTGAGGGTTGAGATATCAAGTACTGTGGGTCGCAGCCTGCCTGTGATATAAGCAGCTAGCCGATTGGCGGGATGTAATGCCCCCATCTGTCCCAAAAGCAGTTTGGCCTGAGGATAACTTTTACCATTAACCTGAAAAAAGTGGAAAAGGGAAATTTTGTGAAGAGAAAAAAAAAGCAAAAAAAAAAGAAAAAAAGAAAAAAAGAAAAGCTAATTCACCACCTCTGGAGAGGTGTTTCATTCCATGGGACTTCCAAGTCTTCTTTTCAGAATAACATTGCAATTCAAAATGGGAACTACAAACTTCCTTTCCGCCCAAGGTAATTCAAAGTATCTCTATTATAGCTTTAAAACACTGACATTTTAGATGCTACTCAGACTCTCATACAGAACCAAAGAGTCCAACGGAGCACCAGCAGTCACTGAACTTAGAGTGAAGCTAGCAAATATTTTTCCTGCCCTTCTATTTATGCTTCACTCCTCAGTAAAAATATTTTTTCAAATTTAAGGACAATTTCAGATAACAAATTCATTAGATTTGAGAATTTTATCACAGAAGAATACTTAATGCCATACACAGTGGGACAAAACTCTAAAGAGCCTGTAAAAATACTGTCAACTGCAGTGTCATTTGATATGCTAATTAAGGTACAATAGGTTGACCAACTTCAAATTCGGAGTTGTGGTTGTAACCAGCTGCCTGGGAGAGAGAAAACACAGCATCTTTCTACATATCAGGCTTTGAACCTCGTGGTCAATAGAAAATGGGAAGTTTTACACTAATTTTTTGGTAATGTCACATTTTACTTTCAAATTGTTAAATATTTGTTTAGAGTGTAAAATCAAACATGCTGAACTGATTAGTCAGTTTCTTTTTCTTTTTTTTTTTTCTTTTTTTTTTTTTCTTTTTTAAAATACCCAGGGTCAGAAGTCACTCCTGAAAGTCTTGGCCTGGACTCTTTTTAAATTTATCAACTATCCAAATCAGGAAATCTCTCCCCCTGTATTTTCCCCTCCACTAGCTTCTCTTTATAAGGGCACCATATCTGTAAAATGTCATGAAAACAAATTTTACTCTCATTTTCCAATTCATACGCCTTCCCTGGAAGTAGTATTACTATAACTTCAAATATCTTTGACTGAAAAAGCAGAAATCTTCATCTTTAACCCTACAGTATCTACCATTAACTGATAATACCAAGTTGGCAGCATGTTACTGCAGTGAAATGACTCATTTTAAACTTAGGATTACGAAGTCTCTTGATGACCAGCATATATGCTGCAAAGAGGAGGCAGTCAGGTTATTAGTGAAGATTAACAATAAGCTATAACAAAAGGCAATTTAATGACTATAATTTATTTTTAAAGTTTTGTCCCAGTGTACGCTTTCTCAGGGAGGGGGGAAAAAAAAAAAAAAAAAGACTCTATGGCCTCCAACAGTCATTCATTTAAAAGTATTAACCGTCAACTGCATCTGCAGTAAGTTTTCCAAAGCACCAGAAAGAACTTGAGAAAGATTTTGCACTTGGGCCACCGAGAGCCAAATGGCCAAAAAGACCATCTAAACTAGCAGCCTTCAGATTTCGAATTAGATTTCCTGAGTGAAACTTAAAAGGAACAAGCTTATAGAAGAGGCAGGAATGCTTCCCAGATACTAAGAATCCTTGTTTGAATAGACAAAAGACTAGGGTTAAAAAAAAAAAGAGTAGTGTGTTTATTTTCCCTTTTAAGGGCTTCTGGGATACTGGAAGAAACTGAATCTAATCTTCACAGTAAAGGCAGAGGGACCCACCTGAATCAAGCCTGAGGGACTCATATTAGCTTTGCGTTTGTAGGCAACCAGCTTTCCTGCAGGAGAAAGCCCTGTATAAAAAGGCAAGCCTTTACCCCCATGCAACTTCTCCCGTAGTTTGTCCAACGTGTCTGCCCGCAAGAACTTTAGATTTTCTGGGGTTTTGCGTGATGGCACTCCACTATCGGGAGTCTCCAAGACAGGTATCTCAGGCTTCTCATCCTTGTCCTGGCAGGACGGCACTGAAATTTTCACTCTGGAGGAGTAGACAGGAGGGCTCTTCTCATCCCAGGCTTTGTGTTCTGAAGCCAATTCAATAATGAAGCTACCCACTTTGAGGGACTGTGGCATGTTACTGTTGATATGCTGTGATAAGATGGTCAAGATCTTATTGCGATCTTCCTCCCAGTTGCAGTCAGAGATAATCTCGATAAGTTTGGTTGGTCCACCTGGAGTGGTGTGATGAACATGGGAGGTGGAGGAAGAATCCCCCTCACTACGGGAAGACCACCAGCTTTTCTCTGAGAAAGAATTGAAATAGGTTTCTGCAATACTATGGCATTTTAATCACCTGGATTTTTCAAACAGTTTTATTCTGCCCACCTCCACCCTTGTCTCAGCCGCACAGGAACAAAAAGAAATGAAATCTGTTCAAAGCATCACTTCCCTTTGCAGAGTTTTACAAGCAAGCGAAAATTCACTGCAAGACTAAACTATTTCTCACGATTCATTCCCTGCAGCCATACCATCTCAGGTTGTATCCCATTGCATCTCACAAGCTAAACAAAGTTGGGTTGGTTCAGTACATGGATGAAAGACCTCCACGCAACACCAACATGCAGTAGAAAGCATCACTGGTTATTCAACAGATGGCGCTTTTCCCTTGGAGTCAGAAAAGGACCAGCGTCCTATAATGGCATTAGGGGCAAACATGCTGCTAGCAGAACTGTCTTTTGCAGAAGATGTAAAATAGAAGCATGACCTTTTGTTGTTATTAGAGATCCAATGGCACTTTTTGCAAAACTGTAAGGATGTTGAGCCCTGTGTCCTGGTCAAGTTTTAATTTTGACCTACCAATTCATCAACATCTTCAGCTAGTTGTATTATTTTTCCATTCCCATCCTTAAATGTAGAGTGCTGTTGTATACATTAAACAGTAAAAGGCTTCAGCTTAAAAAGGCAGCTATATTTCATTAGCGGATGACACAACGCCTCTATTTAATGTCTCAGGTTAAAGTTCAGAACATGATTTGGGGCACTTCAGACTGAAAGAGAACACAGAGGTCTAGCCTACTTTATGAACTAGAAACTCAAACCCAGTGTACATAACGTGCGGCAAAAAATTCAATTCAACCTTTCAACTCGAACTAAAGAATTCAACATCAAACAACTCCAAAGTATAGGCACTTCCTTGTCCCACACAATTCTAAGTGGAGAACATGAGGACCCAGCCTCATAGCATCGTTTGGAAATTTATTAATTTTTCAGTAACTAGAGAGCAATGGTAAGAAAACAACGACAACAACGATAACACACACACACACAAAATCAGTGACCTCCATTCCTGCCCAGTATCTTGAACACAAGTCTGCTGTGTGATAACATCTTTTATTGCTAACCAAGCTACGGTAGTAATGGTCGTTTTAACCTTAGAGCAACAGTAGGTACCAGATATTTAGGCTGTTGTACCTCCCACATTACACATATAGAACTGCTTAAGAAATCAGGCAACTGCAAGCACATGATAAAATTTTTATTGACAACTGTAATAACTCCCCCGGCAAATGGGCTTTTCTTTCATCAATACCTCCACTTTTTTTTTTTTTTTTTTTTTTTAAAAACACAAACACATGGTACTATCAAGTGGTTGAAGTATACTGAAGACTTAGCTCTTACCTCCCGATTTATCAGTGTCTTTTTCCATCTCACAGGTTGCTTTCTCAGGAGGCTGAAGGTCTGCTTCCTGCTCCTGGAGGAGAAAAGAATCATAAGAAAAAACACATTCATCCTGTGTATCCTCTTCCATACTAAATCACATCATAAAATAAACAAGTTAATCATACTATTATTCAGAACCATACAGCATATCTTAACTTTGCCAATAATACAAATCTCATCTCAGAACAGGCCTCTGAACAATAAATATTCCAGCCTTGCACGATGATGCATTTGGGAGCCAGGAACTTCCAAAGACAAGACAGATTCAATCATGGTAACAAGCAAAGTTTACCAGCACTGCTGCATGTTTCAGGATCCACAGTCCTATCACAATCAAAGGCAAGTCGGACCCCCAGGTCAGGTATGAGTTTCAGGAACAAATAGATTACTTACGTTTTCAGTATTTCTGCCTATTATTTGATATAGGCTGGATGCCGTGTGATTTCTTACCTTTGTACTACAGCTCTTTGAATTGCATTGGTCCTTCTGTTGCTTTTTTTCCTCTTTCCTGCGTTCATATGCTCGGACCCTTGCACAAGTCATCATACTTTCAAAATACAAGTAGACAGGATCCTTGTCCTCCTCTCGAATCTACCAAAGGAGAGAAGTAAACCACTCCCATCTAGACACACATTAAGAGTTATAAATCACTTTTGCATTCTAACAGCACTTTGACAGAAACCATCAAAAAAGAAAGCTCCAGCTTTTCAGCCTCAATCCTCCTTCTCAATATCATAGCTCAGGCCACATCTGGGAGCGGGAAGGGCACCAAACCCCGTTTAGATACTCTTGTAAACAAGAGAAAGTCCTGAGCGTCAGGCATTAGTTAGCTTCATCTGGTATGCGTTAAATGGCAACTCTGTTGAGCCTCATCACGCCTGAAGAAGTTTTTCTACTGCTGTTGTCACTTTTGTTAGATAAAGGTGAGGGGAGAGGCAAAGGAAAACTTTTTCAATATTGACAGCGAAGCCTCAAACAAGAACAAAAAAGCTTCTAGAATTACCCTATACCCTGTGTATCCTAATTTGTTTGGCAAGTCATTCACTAATTAGGCTACTTTATGCAGCTAATAAGTTACACAAACATTATACAGGATCAGCAATCATTTTCAAAACATAAGATATATTATTGAATTGTTTTTAAAATGAAAGGCTCTTAGGGAATCACAGTCATCTTTCGTTCTGTGTACTGCGACAATAAATTCTCAACACGAGACTGACAGTTAAAGATTTACACACAGTCCTATCCTAACTTACCAACATACCTGCCGGCAGTAAATCTTGGCCTTTCATCTCAAATTTTTATCTAAAATAGCCTAGTACAGAAGTTTTTGGCAGTGCTTATTTTTTTAATGCAAAGAAAAAAAAAAAAACACAAAACAAACACATATATCTCTTCCTTTCTTACCACTGGATTGGGTTTAGGAGTATACACTCTGCCCGATTTCATTCCACCGGAAGATCTATGCTTACTAGAAAGGGAGACTTCTGGGTTAGGCAATACCACAGGTTTAACTGGTTCAATAACAGATGGTGTTGGGATGTAAATTGGCTCTGGATCTATTTCACCTTCTACTTTCACCCACAGTGGACAATTTCTAATAGGTTGTTCTGGCTCTGAGTCACAGATAGCTGGAAAAAAGAGGAAAAATATAAACAGTTTACTTGTAAGTGGAAACATAATCTCATACAGCAGTAACAAATTTTATTTTGAGCCTAAGATCTAGTCATGCAGCAATCACTAGTTCACACTGCCAGAAAATACTACTGTTGATTTTACTTGGCTCAAATCCTAGTCAAAAGTGACTGGGATTTTTTCCACAAACAACAGGAAATGAAAATAAAAATGATACTACACTGTTTTCTATTTCTCACTTGTACAATGATAGCAAATAAAGAAAAATGCTACAGAATGGATGCTCTTCACTGATGCAATATACTTCAACATGTCAAAAAAAAAAAAAAAAAAAAACCACACACACACACAAAAAAACACCAGACTCTTCTATCAGAGTTCTATGGCAGAACTAAGTTATTCTACAAGCTACCTTGAATTTAACACTAGGCAGCACTGTTTCTAAATATTGCTAAAAATATTAGTAGCAAGAAGCTGAAAATTTAAATTCATTTTTGCCACTTTGTCTTTCTGAGCATACCTTAAGCCAAACCTGAAACTACTATAAACTATCATATTTCCACTGAAGTCAACAAACTTATGCAGCTATATACTGCAATTGAAAATACAAGGAGAAAGAGAGAACGCTGCAAATATGGCAGTGAAGAATACCACCACTGACAGCCATGTAAGTATCTCATACTCTTAGACTTTGCAGAGGTTTGGAAAGTTGAGTATGAGTTTAAACTATCAAAAATAAATTCTAGCTATTTGATCAAGATAAACAATTAAGTAGCACCAAAAACGCTCACCAGATAGGTAAAAGCATGATTTGCTGCTAATCAGTTATACCATAGCAAATGCTGCAGAGATCTCTTGGAACTCACCTCCATTTCTGCATTTAGTAATGTGATTACTTTTATATTCTAACAAAAATCCCTTGCAAAGTAAGGTAATTTCCGCAAAGCTGTTAAAAAAAAAAAAAAAAAAAATCACCCCACACTCTTGCCCAGCAGCACTCACTGTATTCCACCCTTTTTCTCCTCTTCTTTTCTTTCTGCTTCTGTTCATCTTCCCCATCACCCTCTTCTTCCACATCTTCATCCTCTTGCTGCTCTTCTTGTGTTCCATAGAACACAAGATTTCCACGCACAGCTTTTTTCAGTATTTTCTTATGTTTTGATCCTCCTTTTACCAGTAACACTCTTCTCTTCAAGCAAGTACAACCAAACATACAGTCTGGCCTGCGGCAGTGGGTAGGCTGACGCTTTTCCAGTGCTAAACTGGCACAGATACAACCCAGTCGACAGAAATCGTTATTGCAAGGAGGTGCTCGCCGCCTTATTATTTTATGGATAGGTTTGTTTTTGAGTGAAGCCTAAAAAAGTTTTTAAAAAAAAAAATAAGTACACACTGGAAATATTAATGCGATTAAATTAATCATATACAAAATCTAACTATTTGAAGTTCAGTCAGAACAATCACTGCAACTATATAGTTTTAATGCGATAATTTGTCATCTATACTGAAAAACAGAACAAAGGAGATTCTGTATTTGAAGTCTTCTGAGAGGCAGTTTGAGACATTTAAGCAATCTGGGTAATAAACTGCTTGTGAAAACAGTAAAAGAGATTATCATATGACAATCAAGTTACGCGACTAGGATTTCTCTGCAGTTAGTGCTACTGGAAAAAAGTGACAAATAGTCAAGAAATGCAGTTAGTGAATAGAAACCGGATTAACTAGAATTTTTTTTTGTAGTGAAAATTTGAGATAACTAACAATTAATGACTCTCCTTAACTTTCAACACTGCATTTACAAAGTTCTCATAGGAGTTATAAACCCCTTCTTACTGGACAAAACAAATGAAGGAACATAATCAAAAGCTCAACTAGACTGCCTCCAAGGCAACTAAGATACTGAAGAGAAATTGTATTAGTAGTCTTTTTTTTTCTTCCTCTGAAGAGGGCAAGAAGAATAAAGAATGCTTCAAGGACATACGCTATCAACAGAGTTGTTTTTTTCCCCCCATATACTATACTAAGTCAGCAATTCCCATCTTTCACTGGTCAAAGAAACATGCTTTGGTTTCTCCTTAATAGCTTCAGCCTTATTTTGTACATCTATAAGCAATGTTAGAAAGTAAACAGACATGGAAAAGTGACAGTAGGAAGGAAACTACTGTGATTTACCTGAGCGGTGAGCAGAGTTGCCAGAGAGATGTCTGCTCGTTCTTCTGTAATATAAGTCCGTGGTTTCCCATCCCAGAGAGCACAGTCTTCCAAGTCCATTAACTTCACTTGAGATTTAGACAAACCTGGTGGACGAGCTGCTTGTTGCTGTTGCGGAGCATGGCGCAGACTAATTTGTTTTGGCAGTATGTTTTCATCTAGAGCTGGCACCATAAAATTATCCGCTTGGTTAGTCAAACCGCTACTTGAGAGGGACTTAGCAGCCTTTTCTCCTGATGCAGAAAGGCTATGTTTCTGCTTTACAGAAAAAGGTGAAGGCAGTATAGGTTTGTAGGATGATTTTACTCTGTTTGAAGATGTTTGTCTGTTTTGAGTCTTTGTCTTTCTAGAGGTAGATGACACAGAAACAGGCTTGAATGAATAAGATGTTGATGGAATTATGGTGGATTGTTTCTTTAAAACACTGTCTAGTGTTCGCACGTAGCTAGTACTCTTGGTGGGGAGCTGATACACCACAGGAGAAGTTGGAGTGCTAGAAGAGAATCCCATACTAGTTTCCATCAACTTCCCTTCATTTTCCAGGTACTCATCCAGCTTGTCACTGCAGAAGGCTGAACGATTCTTCAAGGAACCTTCTGAACTACCACCTAAAAAAAGACATAATTCAAGAGCCCTTTAACTCCTGGGAAAGTACACTGACAAGTAATAATCAAAAAACAGAGGTAAACATATTTCTAAAAAATGCATATATATCTTTTTTTAATCTATACAATAGTATCATGAACCTCTCTGAAACACAGCCAGCTCTCTGAACAACTGCTTTTGTGGAAATTCTACACACACCATACTGTATTAAAGTGTGAAGGCTACAGTATATGTACAAATTCAAAATAAGAAGTGGCAAATTGCCAAATATCTATTTCCTCTGAGTCAGGACAAAGTAGTCTAGTATGCAAGGAATATCCTTTCTAAAATGAGTTAAAAATGCACTGATTTAAAAAAAAAAAAAAAGTAGATCATTGTCATTCATTAAGTTCTTTGGGGGCACCAAAATTCTGGAATAACCACAGTTCCTCAAATAAGCACAGCACTGAAGAGAAAAACAAACAAATAAGCAAACAAAACAAAAACCTATTTCAGTGCTGTCTTTGAGCTGTATTCTATTTTACACAGAAGGAGTGAGTAAATGTAATTTTTGTCGTACTCAGATTAAATAACTCTAACTTTCTCCCTTCTGCCCATAAGCCTTCCTTCTGGTCATGGAAGCAATACCAATAAATTCTTTATTCATGACAGTTTTGATTAAAAAAAAAAAAAACAAAAAAAAACCCCCACACACACCACCACCATACACAGAAACTCTCATTAAGACACACACAGTAAACAAACCGCAAGATCTATTGACAGGTCAAGAAAAGGGTATTAGCAATATATACATTGACCTCTCTCTCCCTCTCTCTTTATTTATTTATTTTTATTTTTTTAACCTTCATTTCTAGAAGCACCATGAAGTTTTCCTCTCCAGCCTTTAATCTTGGTGAAATCATTTGTCTTTCCTGTCCTGGAAACAAAAGGAAATCCAGTATCTGGAAAAGAAGAAAGCTAGCCTCAGTTTATAAATCAAGCTTGACTGTAATCATTGTCCTGGCAAACTCTGCTTATTACTGTTCAGACATATGAACACCATTAAATCAAAACCCAGAATAAGGAGACTTAAAACTTATGTTAAAAAAAAAAAGAGAAAGCAACAGAAAAACTAACAAAGCTTGGTTTCCTGTGCAGTTCTCTCCTGTGTACCCACGTTTCCTATCCCCCAAAAAAGCTGTTTTCTGCTGTATTTTCAGCTTTATCCACCTTCCCTTATCAAGGGTACAAACAGTTGGTTCCAAAACACAAATGGGAGGCTCAGTTATTTAGCAGGACAAAAGGGAACAGGAAAATATTGACCTCATACTACAGCCTCCCTCAACAAAGGAAATAATTTGAATTTGTCCTCTTAATTCAGCCAATGACTTTTACAAGACCTGCCGAAACTTCACTGAACACTCACTGTTCGGCCAAATCTGGCTAACTATGAATTAGGGATAGTGACAGGGAAGAATCACAGAACGCAAACAAAGACAGCTCTGTCAAATTATCCACCAGCTCTGGAGACTAAGTCATGTTGTAGGAAATTAATAGGGCTCTGTCTGGTTGTTTTACATCCTGCCAGGCTAGAAACAATTGAAATTTGACACTGAACTGACAGGTCTCCTGAAGTCACTCTGCCTCTTCTGCAGCAAAAACAGAGCTGAGATACAAGCTCTGCCTCTTTACCAGCTCCCAAAAACAGCAGAGGGGGAAAGAGAAGGTGACAGGAATATTACAATAGGAGCAAGAGACCGAAGGTAAGTAAGTATTCCCGTACTTGGTACAAGAAACAAGTGTATTATTATCAACAGTACCTATCAACAGTATTAAAATCAAAGTTACATTATAATGGGCATCACATTTGTTTGGATACTTAACAGGAAACAAAACCAGAAAAAGCACATCTGGTCAACAGGTTTGTAACAAGCAATTATCAGTGAAATAAATGCCTTCTCCAGGATTTCTCATGATTGCTTTTCATTTTCTGAGCTTTTGGCTTTCAAGTTCACCTGCCCCAGTGAAAATGAACAGTACCCATTGTAACAGAGGGAAGATGTCTTGCACATACGAAGATCCAGCTAAAACATTTTTTCACTTTTGCACAACAAACTGAAAGGCTTCATTTATTTATTTCTGTATGTATACTAAGCTAAATCTCTTAACATGCCAAAGTATGCAGCTGTCAAGGACTAGACATAACTCCTTGCTGAAGGACAGGATGGGTGCAAAAACTGCTGTTGCCAAGGTTAAACGCATGCTGTACTCTTTGGCTATGTTTTACTGTAGACGCTTCTTAAAGATCTTTTTAAGCAGAAGAATAGGATTATCACAGATCTGGAGTCACTGGCCCTAGCGCACCGCTTCCAACAAGACAACCAAGAAGTGGTAAAGAGAAAGGCAGGAGGGGATAAAAGAGGACTCTTGTAAAGAGCAAGAGGTACTTTCAAAATGTGACCAGAGAGATAAACAGCAGCATGGAGAGATAAACAGCAGCATGCAAGTGAATCCCCTTATAGGCACACTATTACATTTCTAGTTTAGCCCTCAAGTTGCACTTCAGACTCTTCTATGTCTCAAGAAAAGGTTTGACGCTCAAAACTGGAAGAGATAACTTTTTTGGTTTTAACTGTGGACAACATTAGAGACGGGTAGACTTTCTGGGCTTTTTCTGAGCACACTGAGGGTGCTAAGATGTATGTTTACATTTAGAAAATCCAAGTCCAACAGATAAAAGATGCATGCATAAAGTAAGTCAGACAGATTCTTTTAATGGACTACAACCAACACCAAAAGAGGGAAGGCTGAAGATCACCAGGTCAAAATTAACCAGGACTACTTGGCCAGAAACTGCATTTTGTTACTGTAATACTGCTTTAATCTCTTTGGAGAGAGCGGCCCTTCTTCAAACTAACTGGCCATTCCCATCCTCTGATCGTCAGTAATAAAAAGACAATACTTGGGATTTCAGCAAATTCATATTCTACCCACCTGGAGAATTGGGATTGGTTCCCAGATAGTTCCACAAAGAGTAATTTGAGTAGGAAAGAGGCAGCTGCACACCCAAGTATTTCAAGTCAATGCTCATCGTTGGGTCCACAGAATTCAACTTCAGTCCCACTACAAGAGGCAAATACCAAGTAAACGTCTCAATGTAAAGAGAGATTAGGAAAAAAAGAGTCAAGACTCTTATTAAAAAATAAGCCACTAAGTCATATATAGGCTTTTCTAGTTTTCCAGTTTTTCTAGAATTCCCTTCTTTCTCTACTGAAAGCTTTTCTTGCGCAAAAACATATACCACATGCCATCCATACTTCAGTTTCAACCAGCAATAAGAGACGAGAGAAACTACATTACAGTTCTGGAGAACTGCAAAAGAAAACAAAATGATACCAAGTTATATTCAGATAGCTCTCAGGACTAGTTCACCAAATGATCCTGATCTCAGTAGGTTGTTTGGGGGGAGCTGTTTGTTTGTTTTGCTTTCTCTCCAGACTGTCCTTACTGATATGATCGAGTCTAGCCTGCCTTCTCGTCTGTCTTCTGTTTTTAGGAAGCTGGGGCGGGGGGAAGGCTATTAGAAAACTAAACAATCCATCTTGTTGGCTGCCACCGTTTAACAGTATTTTCTGGAAGACGCACAAGTCAAATACTGTTATACGGTGAATTTAAGCAATGACTGTCGTCGATCAGTCATCTTACAGTCTGAAGTCAAGAACATCTATTTTGGATTTTAACTAGAGAAATCTACAAATGTTGATCCTGTTGCCAACAAGTCTGGGAATTTGCATTTTAAATATGGAGCTTTGAAAGTAAAAGTGTTGTATGACTTGCCAAGGCTTAAGGACACAGAACGAGATTTGCACATATAGCAGAAATCTTGTGTTGGTGGTACACGTTTATGTTTGTAACTGGCAACATAGTCACCTGATTACTCGCAGTCTAAAAACAACTGACAGGGAACAGATCTCAGATCTGTTGGATTCCTTTTTCAAATACAGTCTTGTGAGAAGTAATTTTCAACTCTGCATAAGAAAACGAGCAGTAAATACACGAATCTACCATTTTGTAAAGAAACATGTCAAATGTCAAGATGCTATCCATCTCTTTTCAAACTACATTAAAAAAAATAAGTAAAGAAAGCAGAGATTATTTTTCTTGACGCTCCACTTGAATTATTCTGTTGCCTTCAAAAAGAAGCCTAGCTTTGTTTAACGCTCAAACAAAAGTAAGAACTTCACCCATATGCAAAACTCATTATTTAAATTTAAGGTCACGAAGTGAAAAACACCCTGATAACGAGCAGAGAATGACTCCAACAAACAAGCGCATCATGGAATAAAACACAAACAACCTAAAGAGAATGAACTGCAACATTAAGTATATGTCAGCAAAGACATCACCATAATCACCATACAGGTAAGCTTCATTTCTATCATCTCAGAAGTATTGCTAAGTTTCAGTTGCTGTACTCAAGTAGTAGCAAATTAAGAACCTTCTCCTTTTCCCAGCAGATCCAGCTGAAGTGTGCTGTCTGGTAACAGGTCAGCAAGTTACTGCATGCTGCTACTTTACACTTTTCAGATATTGCCATGTTTCTGTATGGTCATTAAAAAATTGCCTTATCTTCAACAGCTGAAAACACACAGTGTTTTTGCCTGCTGCTTTGCAAAGACAGCATGATTTTTTACAACATCTCTTTATAGCCAGGGAGAAAAGAAGGAAGGAAAAAAAAAAAAAAAGGAGAGAGAGGATTGAACTCTGATCCTCTCCAGACAAAAAAGACATGGACTCATCAAGTCTGTATGAATCTTTTCTTCCTGAAACTGCAGCATGCATCAGAAAGGAAAAAAATTCCAATTGTTTCAAATTCCCAAAGGTGATGAGTTCCAAGAGAAAGTTTTTACCGTTTTATTCTTGTGTCACTTAATGTTATACGTAATGTTATATGTCACACGATGTTAACCAAGCATCTGAAATTCATTAGGTTTTCTAGCAAAAATGAGAGCCACTAGGAAGACAGTTCCCTTCTTCCCAAAGAAGGGTAAAATGAGCATTCCGCAAAGATACTGTTTGGAGTTAGGAAGACTACTCAGATCTGAGGAAAAATAAAAACCACAGATTTCCTGACAAGCACACAAGTTTAGTATTTACTATCACATAAGTAACTGTATAGAACAACTTCACTACCACATGAGAAGTGACTGAATACTACTGTATAGGCAAATGCCAAGTAAAAGTCACCATAAATTAGAAGGAGCGGTTTTGGATCCACCTTACTACTGCGCACAATGTAATATACCTTTGTGATGTGGTACCAGATACATTCAAAGGAAAAAGACTGCACTAGTGATAGAGAGCAAGAGTCCTGCAGCTTTCAAGGCCAAATTTAATACTGGTATCAGCAATATATTCTCCCCAGCCTTGCCTGTTTTAAGTACAATTAACATCAAGAATCTTTGGCAGAAAACACGGGCTGGATCTAGAAACCAGCATGGCATCGGATTACTTTTCCATTTAGGACTTCTGCTTTTCCTGACTTGTGACGTTTTTGGCTTTTAGGAGTGGCTACAATCAAAAGTTCTCAGGCTGCTGGGTATCTCAGCTTCAGGTTAATATGCCATATAAAACTGTGGCTCTATGAAGTTAAACACTGGCAGTCCAGCACTAGCAAGAAGCAAAATGTTGCCACTTTAAAACGAGGGCAAAGATCTGGCTAGGCTAGCTCTCTTCTCAGCAAATGCACAAACCATTTGAAACAATCCAGGACTCCTCACAGAAAAAGCTCTGTCAGGACCCAAGAGAATCACTTGTATCTGAAAAAAAAAAAAAAAAAAAAAAAAAAAAAAATCAGTATTTGGCATCTCAATCCCTACACACTGCAATTAATACGTCTGAAAAAATTCAGGATCAGAACCTCAAGCGCATAAGATACCACACTCCCATCTGGATCAATTTCTTTGTCAGCTGCTCTGATGCCTGTGTCCAAGCCACTGGTCTCAAGACTGCCATCACTGAAGACTTTTGACATCATCCACAGAGAGAATATGAGTTCTGCTGCGTATACAGATGAGAACCACAAGCTAGAAGTAGTCTGCTTGGCTGGTGAACCTGGATCTGAAGTGACTCAGAAATAACGACCCAGATATAGCAAACGCAGTCCGAGTTACACGTGTCTGGCTTTCTAGATCCTGGACAAAGAACATGAACCAGCATCTGGCTATTTTCTACGCAGATGTTAAAAGAGCTCCATGTGCTCTCTACAAAGATGAGCTCATTATAAAACAGGCAAGGCCTAAAATCTGAAGGCTCAGCATCTTCAACAAGAGGCATATATTAACATGAAACCTCTTGCTGTTCTGTGCAAGATTCAGGAGTGATTATTTTGCCTCCTCCACCTCTTCTAGCTTGCAACATGATCATCAATATATGCGTGAAAAATAACCATCTTTATCAACAGTTATTTACTTTTAAAGCCTCTAAGAAAAAAACTCAGTCAAAAGTGCTAAATCCTCTCTCACTGTCATGAGTGGCAAGAAGGAAACTGAACAGAGCTTCAGACACACTTCCCTTCATATTCTCAAGCTGGCACACATAGATACACGTAGGTTTTTCCAATAACCTGTGTTTGCAAAAACCACCAAAACCAGGTCCCAGCTGTATTAAGCACAGACAGTATTATATCCAGTAGGAAACTATGCATTCAGTATGATTAAGCTGAGTGCAGCTCAGGCACTCAGACACAACACCACATACAGGCACAACAATACGTACACTGCATGCTTACCTTCCTGAAGACTAGGATGTATTACTTGCTTATGCCTCAAGGTCTTCAGCTCTTCCATCAATTCCTTTTCCAGGACTTGTATTCTTGCTTGACAGTCTGCTCAAAAAATAAAGGGAGAATATACACAAATCAGTTACTATGCAAAAAACTGACCTAAACGATCATCTTCCACTGCACTTTACACATTCCCTTGTTGAAGGAAAATCCACTTGCAGAGAACACAAAAAGGTACCTGGATCATTTGCAGCTAACAGAGGAGCCTGAAGAGTCTGTGATTCCTCTCCTCCAACTCTGTCAACAGTGTGTATGTCAAGAGCTTCCTACATACATAAAGAGCTTTGAGTAAGTAAGTATAGAATGCCTTAAAACACCAACCCAGATGCAAACTAGGCCACAAATATCATTAAACATGAGACGGTTTAATAAAGAAGTATATCTTTTACATATAGAACTCCAGATCTCAGTACGTCTTCCCAAGTCACTAAGACGTACAAAAAACATTAGGAAAAACACAGCGACAAGGTAGGAACAGATTTGCCCCCCCCAAAAAAAAAGTCATAAATTCTGAAACACAGGAAGTTCCGTCTGAACATGAGGAAAAACTTTCCTGTGAGAGTGACTGAGCACTGGAACAGGTTGCCCAGAGAGGTTGTGGAGTCTCCTTCCCTGGGGTTCCCTGGGGTTATTCAAAACCCGCCTGGACGCGATCCTGTGCAACGTGCTCTAGAGGACCTTGCTTGAGCAGGGGGGTTGGACTAGATGATCGCCAGAGGTCCCTTCCAACCTTGGCTATTCTGTGATAAATCTCAAAGCTCCGTTTACTTTCAGTTTGTAGCTGCGTAGTCACTAAATATGACACATTATAAAGGACATTGAATTACCTTTGATGCAAAGGACACAAAAAGGACTCCATCCACATCTTCAAGATCCGGCTTCACATCTGGAAGGATACCCCCAGGCCCCAGAGAGGTGTTCTTGCTTCCTATTACACTTTTCCCTATACCTTTAGGTGGTCGGCCAGCCTTAGAAATCTTCAGTTTCCGTGGTCTTCCTCTTTTATTTGGACCTGATGAGAGGGCACTTTGACCAGTACCAGAGCCTTTCTGAGACAAAGTATTCTTCAGTATTCCAGCCTTTTTTCTTCCACAGACCTCTTTAGCTGAAAAGTGACAACTGACTGAACCCCTGAGACTAAAGTTAGGTGATTTAGATAGAGCCCACTGGGCTTCTCTGATTGAACAGTATTTCTGCGACATTTTACTCCCAGGAGATTGTTTTCTCATAGCTAACTCCTCAGTTACAATGGCTGTGGTTAAGCAAGAACCTTTGTGATTTTCAAAACAGACAGGCAAGGAATCCAGTATTGCACTCAAAGGGGATTTATCTTTCTTGCAAGCAGTTAGCATGGTCTGAGGCAGCTCAGATATCTTCACTGTGCTCTTTGTGACTGCACATGGTTCTAAATAGACTACAGGCATCTTCCCGCTATCAAGTTTTAACATTTTTGCTCTGGCAACACCTGAAGGGCTGGTGAGTACTCGCTTCCGAGGCCTGAATTCTCCATCTTTTCTGTCCGTATCACTGTGTTTCCTCAGGTGTTTTTCTAGGGCGGGATCATCCTCATCTGTGTTGGAATATTCGTCAGTCTCTTCATCTGTATCTTCTTGTTTTACACTTACTCCTTGCGTGCAAATACTCGATTCATAGTCATAGTCATCTACTGGTTCCTCTTTAATGACTACATTGAAGTGTCCACTTGGATCCAATGGGGATGCCACACGGGAACTGCTTTCGTAACTGCTAGCAATGGGACTAAAGGAAAAAAAAAAATACAAGATCTTTATCAAATCTCTTCTTTTACCAGAGTTTCATGATCTCCCATAATCCTTAGTTACATACAGTAAACAACTTCCAAGGTGCTTCAAGATACAAGTCTGTCAAAGGCCTCAAAGCTTCATCTTCTAAATAAGCTGTCATTTACAAGATTACATTTTTAGAAGTAAGCCTTCAAAAACATTTACCATCAGTGAAAACAATGCAACTTCTTATCTGAAGGCAGCAGCACTATTTCCTTTCCTAAGTAATACCAAAATGACATTTGCAGTTCTATGTGAGGCTTAGCATGAACTCATGCTAAGTTATGATGTACTCAATGCCCATAAGTGGCCTCAGTTTGCGGTATCTCATTAAGCCATCTTTGTAAAGCCACTGTACCACTACACTTGCGAAGAGGCCAAGTGAGTGCTTAAAGCACTTCAACTTACATGATTTAACTGAAATTAATTCATCCTGAACTCTCACAAAGACAATTCTTAAACAGAACTGCTGTTCTAACACTTACTGTACGCTAGTATCCTATCAAATTATGCTCCATTTTCCACTTAGTCTGAATACTGACATAACCAAAATTTAACATGTTGTAGTGTAGACACTACAAACTAATGGTGCAGCCAGTTACATCCCCAAAGAATAGGCTGCTTCAAGTAGCAGAGGAATTAGTCAAAAAACTGCAGTCATCAGTTCCGTGAAGAACATCAGAAGCTGGCACTTAGTCATTAAAGGAAACACAGCTGAGATATGAAAACAGAAACTCTTATCCACAGTGAACCTCAGAAAATAATAGTTAGAACTTCTTTACTAAATATATCAGACAGTATTCCAATATTCTCTTTGCATGGGGGGGGGGGGGGGGAGGAAGAGAAAGAGGAAGAGATTATTTCTGCCTCATGTACACCGAAGGCATGCCTAACGGAGAAGTGCCTGCAGATGCCACAGGATACGGGGCACAAAAAAGTCACAAAACAGAGCTGGGAGACTGCAGCTCACAAACGAGGATCGGAACATAAAACAGGGAGCAGATAGCCAGGACACAGATTTACATATAAAATTCCTAGGAAAAGGAGAGGACCAATGCAGAAAATCTGCTGCAATTCAGAAGGATATCGAGTAACCAGAATTAAGCTTGAAGCAAAAACCTGCCTTGCGAGGGAAACAGCTAGCAGCAGGAGAGTTGCGTGCAGGTCCTGGCTTTTAAACGTCTTTTGTCTTCTCTGATCACTGAGCTTTCTATTAAAAAAAGAAAAAAGTCTAGACTTCATTTAATTAAAAAAGTCAAATGTAAGATTAAAAAAAAAAAAAACCTATCTTTCTTCAGGGAGCTTACTGTAAGAGAAGGTCTAAGCTGATCCATTTGAGTTCTGGACAAAACTCAAAATCCTGTTGCATTAAACCTCTAGGTTTATTCAGCATAGCAGATCTACAATTAAAGTGAATGCTTTTAAGAAGGTATGATTCATCTGCTCCTCTACCTTAAACTTCTTTAAAATAGACAAAAAAATCCCAATGACCTTGCAGGCTGAGAATACATTTCTTGTCTGAGTTCTGTTGCTTCCAACGGTATGAATCTAGAAGCCTGGATTTCTCTAGCCATTTTGCTTTATTTGTTGCAAGATTTACTACTCAAGCTAAGGAATACCTTTCTATCAAGGATCTGTACAGTACCCAAAACAAAGGAGTTCTGCTGGACAAGTGAAATTCCTAGACAGGGATGTTATTTCACTCTGCATATTGAAACCAAAGGTCAGATGGTGACAAGAGTGAGGTATCACGCATGTATGTGTATGCATGAAGATCGTATTTGCACATTAAAAAAAAAAAATTGGAGATTTTAAATTCAGACTGAATAATCAACTTTTCATAAAAAATAAAGTTTCTTTCTAACATTTAAGTAATTTCATTTGGCCCTGATTTTGTGAAGCCCACTAATTATTTGCAACATAAGCAGTCACAGAAACACATCTTCCTGTACGCCATCAGAAGATGAACTATGCAAGTTTGTCCTCTCAAAATCCTCTGTTTAATCTGAGATCACCTAAAAACGGTGAGAGAATGTCTTGTTAAAAAGTTCTTTCACCACCTGATAGGACAACGTTCATATTTACACAAACCTCCTCACACCCCAAGTAATATATTATTTGCGTAGAAATAATTCTCTTCTATTTTGCCAAATTAAAAACTAGTCAGTTGCCTCTTAAGAATAGGAATAATTATCAGGGACTGCAAGCACTGAGATTCACATTTTTTTCTAGGTAGATTATTTTAAAATATACTGTCTATTGAACACACATCTCGTTTCTTTAACAACCTATCAATCTCTGTGGCTGAAGTTTCAAGGATGGCAAGTATAGCGCTCTTCCAAAAGGAAGGCAAGGAGGGAAGAAAAGTTAACTGTCAGACGGAACAGAAAACAACTAACTTAGAAAAATAACATAGGTGGAACGTTAAAAAATCCAATGCATATGTATCTTTGAATCAAGAAATTCAAAAGACTAGAAGGGAAAGAAGGTACAGTAGTAGCCTGTAGGCTTCAGAGTCAGTACATTTTGCTTGGGGGTCCCTCCATGCACCCAACACCTGAATGGTTCTATGCAAATATATTCGTTTAGAAGTGTCCACAATTAAAAATAGAAATGTGTTTTCCTTAAAAAACTCCTGATTCAATTGAATATATAACCAAAAAAAATAAAATCCTACAACCTTGTATAAAATAATATTTCCAAAGATCATTACTAACTAAGAGTAAAACTGTTCACTGGTATATGCAACCTCTTACATGGTTCCATTCTCAGAAAGGCAACCCTCTACATCAGAGATCTGCAAAATGTAACATCAGTGGGAAATATCACACATTGCAGCACTAAGAACTCCAGAGTCAAAACCTTTTGAGAGCATTATCTGAGAGTCAGCAGCTCTCAACTTCTGACTCCTACCAAAATCTAAACTCAGCAGAAATCACTACAGTGCATACAATCAAGACAGCGCCTTCAACTAGTAGTAAGATCTTGCCTATGATAAAGAATTGCCTGGTTTCCATTAATATGCTTAATATCTATTTTGATAAATGCAACTTGCCCAACATTGTCCTTTAAAGATCTCTCTTTC